TAAAGTCAAGATCAAAATGGGATATTTTGACTGGTTTTTTGACTTCCCTAAAACTTAGAGGAAAAAACTCCGCTGGAAATAAAAGAACTTACATTTCGATGTAAACCGGAGCAGTTTTAAAAGGTTCTTTTACATCAGGGCACCGTTCTTTGATTTCAAATGCACAACAGTGACCAAAAATATCCTTCGATATTTTTTAACATGATAATCTTTTGTGTGTTCTGTTCCAAGTTTTTATATTCATTGATTTTTTTCTATATTTCACAACCTTTGGGCGCATTTACTTAAAACTGTTACTAAGAAAATTAATGACATCCCGATGACCTTATGCACAGTCAAATAGGACCAGTAATTTCGGCGTACTAAAACACATTTGGGGCACAAAACGTAACAGATTTGTAAGGAAAAATTTTATAAACTGAATCCATCTTTCTTTTCTTGACATTAATGCTGTATCTCATACGTACACTTACCTCAATCTCATGGAAGCAAAACAAAATTTGCTGTTTTGTGAACAGATGTAGTTAAAAAGTTCCGGCTCTTCATGAATGTTCTTTTGTAGGGCAACATGCATAAACAAGAGGTTCTTTTCCGCAACGTTTAATAGCGTAGGAAATTCCTCGGATATCAACAAACGCTAGATTTCGCACATTTCTGCCTCTATTTTATCCCACTATACTGATATGAACGAAATGCAATTATAGTAAACAGGATTTTGCGCCTCAAGTCAACCCAATGAACTAAATAAACAACCTCAAATGTGTTTTAAATCCCTCAATCCCAAACCTTTCATCAGATATGTAATCTACTGTAGATAGGAGTGGCGCGCTGCTAATAGATTCCCGTACCGACTTTTGAAATAGACCGCTAGACTTCCGTGCACGCCACGATTATTCCCCCCACCCCCTTCCTGGTAGCTCATTCCCTAGCCAAAGCCATCTTGTTAGATTCATAGTCATCGGAAGATGACTAGTTAGCACAAAACAACTACCTTCGGGGGGCTCTGTGGTTTTGTGGGTAACAGCTGTGATACACCAACATGTCTACCGCCAATCCGGCGGGTGATATTGATTCTCCTACTCATGGCGCTTGAAGCACTGCCTCCTCAACTCAGCTGCTTCTGTCAGCTCGTAGGTCTGCCCAGCTTCTGTGGACCCGGCACGAGAGCAGGACAAGATTCTGCGCGTTCCGGATCTCTGCTTCCGCCCACTAATGCTCATCCTGTCTCCTTTCTCGATTGTCTGAACGTTAGCAGTCCTGAGGGTGCGCTCAGAACTGCTCACTCGGCTAACGTACATTAAATTGGTAGATGACAATGTTTCCGGACAAATACGGCAGATTAATTAGAAACTACAAGACTAAAACAGCAGTTAATATCGGTTCCCCCGACGAAGGCGAAAGAAGTTAACAGTTCTAGAGTCAAGACGAGTTGAATAGCATATCCTGTTACAGTGTGCCCTATTCTCCAACGCAGTTCTTCTCTCTTAACTCAAGTTCCCACTTTGTGCGCCTGTGACCGCAAGCAAGCGGGCAGGCGAACAGTCAGTTAGAGCCCACATACAACGAAGGTGGATGATCCTTACAGATACCACCTTGTATGAAACTGTCCTTTTGAGTTCGTGTAGGTCGATTCAACTTTTGATGACAGTTGGCGACATCACCACCAAAACTTACGTATGAGACGTGCTTCTTTGTATCATTACTTGATCGGATTCAGTGTTACCCACAATCAATTGCATCGACTATAGTATCCCTCAAACGGTTGTATTTCGGGGTTTTCGGCGTCGCGGTATGCTAGGGCAACTGCTAGCCCCTCCGAAAATACCCCTCTGCAGATAATAAATCTAGCCGTGCGATTTCGAGAAATAGAGGGTGGTTAGATAATGCAAGGGAGGACATTCAGAGTTATGTTACAGTGAGGAACATTGTTTACAGTCATACATACTTCCACCACTTATCGTATCCTATAGGATATAATTTAGGCACACCGGAGCAGTCGTTTTTGAAAGGGGAAGACCAGGTGCCGATGCATTCAACATCCCACACCCCCCACCCTCGCTAGGTGAAATAACGAGTGTTGATTGGCTACAGCTGTCTGGACCTCTACACCCTTGAGCTGGAACCATCACAAAAAAACCAATTTTTATGCTCCTAGCTGGTTCCATCAAGCGAATTTAAGTGTTCACTTCTTAGTATAACGTTTTTGTGCATATGCAAGATCCAGAAAGCAACGTTGTCTGTGAAGCTGGTGCACAAATAGCTGTCCACAAATGATGTACTTTTATGTAAACAGACTGAGCATGACTGTTTGGGCCACGTTCTTCACAGTCACTGGGCCTATTTGCAAGAATCGGCCTCCCTGAACTTACAAATAGCGATTACCTTTCGGATTTTCAGCGACCGGCCCAAAGATACTAGTTTACCTCCGGCATTTTCTAAGACTTCTAGGTATCACTAAGGTCAGCGAACCCCTGGTAGACGACTGTCGTTCAACGTTTGTTCCCCTAAGGTGGTGATTTTAACCGCATGCAAGATCTTGAGGATTTGCCAGCTTGCAGTGAAGACCCCAGACTACCCTCGGTTTTTGACTGATTTTTTTATCTCTTCCCCGCACCTTTAGCTTTGCAATGCACCACTGTTCGTACCGATTGGTCAAGCTCCCTACCTTGCGTCCGCTAGCCTCACAGTTCTCTACGTGGCGCTCTCTAGTGCCGGAGAAGAAGACCCTTATAGACGGAAAATGGGTGACAGGAAGCACCAAAAAGACATTTCCCGGTTCGTTCTCATGCCTCCTTTTAACTTCTTTTGATCGTAACTTCTAGCAACTTGCCTTTCTGACCAAAAGCATCTCACTTCACGGTTAGCATAGGCAGTCAGCTTGCTGTTCTGTAATTATGGATTCCATACAAGCAGTCAGTTGGGCGGGTAAAATTTATCCAATTGTGATTAAATTCACGGCGCACGGTGGGCCTCGTAGCTCAATGGTAGAGCGTTGGCTGCGCAGAAGCCTTCCCTGCTGTTTGGGTTCGGCTCCCACCGAGGCCGCGAATTTTTTACAATTGAGTTAACTGAATTAGGCAAATCTGCCCAACCCTCCTAACAATCAGACACATGTCTTTGATCACTGTAATACGAAATTTTACAATAATCGAAGCTGATGTATTAGTTTTACTGTTCGTTACTGTTTCGCAATATGC